AGAAGTTAACTGAACAACCTGTCCAGTCAGTCCAACCAAAGAGTAAACATCCCTCTTCACATACACTCAAACCTGTTACCATTACTGAAACTTGTAAGTTGCTTGTAATTGAAATGTTAACTAATCAAATTGAAAAAGGCCCAAAGTGCAACAAGAAAATTGGCAGCATTGGTTTTAATTTCCACGTAAGAAGATGCTGCAAATATGATCCAAAAAAGTTGTTAGATGAAAGAACATACTGTAAATTAGAAATTGCTATAATGAATGCTCCTATTCCTCGTCGTGCCAATAAGTCTGCAATTGTTAAAAAACCAAAAAACAGAGAAACTCTTAAATCCTTAATTGAATTAGATAGGAAAAGATATCAATTGAGTGGAAAATCCTCATTTTCCACAATCACAATCCATCAATGTCTCAAAAGACAATTAATAGTTAAGAAATATTCATTCCAACAATAAATTCAATTTCCTCAATCTCTTTCTCTATTTGTGAAATGATCAAAAGTTCTCAAAAAAAAAATCGAACAACACAATGTCTCTGCCTCAAGCTCTTGTTATCTCTTCAAAGACCTTTGAGGAAATGATTGAAAGCGAATTGGAAAAGTATTCCGACTGTTTTGATCAGGAAGAACATGATAATCAAATAGGTACTTGAAAAGATTGGGAGTTGGTTCTAATTCCTTCGGATCATGTAAGTAATTTCATCAGTATCAAATGTATTAAGTGAATCTTCATCATCATTTTGATTATTTGATAATATATTAAATATATTAAGGTCAAAAGTGTAACAAGTGCTTTAGAGGAAATTTCCTCGATTATCACATGAGAAGATGTCAACCTTATCAATGTCACATCCGAAGATCCCTATTATGCTAATCTGGACAGTTGGGACTGTGTTAGAATCTTGAGAAGGCTCGATATACTACGATATACAACCAAGCATCTATCCATGATGTACATCCCAAAGGATATGATATGTAAGTTGCATTGTTTCATTTTCATCAAATTTCAAAATTCAATCTGATCATGTGTAATTATTATTCCATAAAGAAAATGTAACAAGAAAATTGATCAAGTTGGATATGTTTTCCATGTGAGAAGATGTTGCAAACATGATGCTAGAAAATACTTCGACTCACAGACCTTGTGGTGTTTAGAACAGGCCAAAATGTATGCACCAAAATCAAAGAATACGAAAACATCACAAAAACCAAAGCCAGTTGACTTGAATCCATCCTCAGCAAAATTCAAAAATCAAAGAAGAGAGAAATTTTCAAAGCCCTGAAGAAATTAGACAGAGAAAGATACAAAACAACAAGCAAGGTCATTCTTTTCTCCATTTACCATCCATTCCAACATTACCAATGAAAAATCACAATTATTGTAATTGCTTTCCATTAGCAAACTTTCTTCCACACACATTCTTTTCAAAATTTCAATACAATCAATTTTTTAGGGTTTATCATGATAAATCATTTAACATTCTATTACTGGCATGCATTACAGGTAGT